TGTGGTGGTGCATGCCTGTAATCCCAGTGGCTCGGGAGGCTGAGATAGGAGGATCAAGGGTTCAAAGCCAGCCTCAGCAATAGTGAGGCACTAAGCAACTCAGTGAGACCCTGTCTCTAAATAAAATACAAAATAGGGCTGGGGATGTGGCTCAGTGATTGAGGTCCCTGAGTTCAATCCCCAGTACCCCCTCCCCTAATTTCTTAAATTATCACCCTTTAAAAGTAGGAAAGAAGTCTGGGAGCAGTGACACATGCCTGTGAATCTCAGCTGAGGCAGGAGGATTGCCAGTTTGAAGCCAGCCTGGGCAATTTAGAAGACCCTGTCTCAAAAAATAAAAATGAGGGGCTGGGGATGTGGCTCAAGTGGTAGCGCTCTCGCCTGGCATGCGTGTGGCCCGGGTTCGATCCTCAGCACCACATACAAACAAAGATGTGTCCGCCAATAACTAAAAAATAAATATTAAAAAAAAATAAAAATGAGGATGTATCCCAGTAGTATATCACTCCTGAGTTCAATCCACGGTACCAAAACAAATGAAAATAGAAAAGGGACATAGAGAGGGTCCTGGTCTCACAGAATTCCAGCTGTCCCAAGACTGGAAAGTTGGCGTGTGCCTGGGACAGAGAGAGTAGAGTTGGGAAAATGAGAGCCAGGATGGAGAAAGACCCTGCCAGAATCAAGAGTTCACACCTGACCCCACAGGCAAGGTCCCTGTCCACTACAGAGCTGGGATGTTCAAGCTCATTGAAAGGGGTGGTCGTGTCAGTTCAGATTTTACACATCTGTGCAGAGGACCACCTCCTCCATCCAACCCCATCAGTCACCACTCCCTTGCCTCTACCTATGTGCTGAGCCCGACTGCCCGGGTGCCTCTCTCTTAACCTCTCCTGCTTTTTCTCAGCCTGAGCCCTTCCCAAGCTTTCCTAGCTATGGGGATCTATAGGCCAACCTTTTTGGCAAGTCAGCATTGAGCCACCTCTTCTTGAGATCTTGAAGTGCTACATTGTCTGTTGGCCAGTGGTGCCAAGGAGCTTGAGGTATCACCTCACCTTCATGGTCTGGGGCAAGATCAAGGTTGGTCCTCCCCCGCACAATGTTGCAAGTGTTCTGAGAGGGGTAGGCAAGGGCTGGGGTAGCTCAGAATCCAGGTCTCTTCTGTGAAAGGATAGGGGGGCTGTCTGAACTCAGACGTCCTTCTGGGGTTCCAGGATTGTCCCAGTGAAATAGCTAATTATTCTCTGGGGTATGGAGAGAGGTTTCTTCTGCCATCCTGATCCCCAAGCCCCTTTCCTGTACACACAAAGAGGCCCCAGAGGTTCAACTCAACTCTTGGCCATGCTGTTAGAAAAATAAATAAATAAATAAAACAACCACCATGTGCTGAGCACTTAGTAAGTGCAGGTGCTGTGCCAAGTGCTCTTTATCATTTTACTTAACCTTGACATTTATTCTCCCAGATGGGCATTACACCTACACTTTCCAGGTGAGAGCAAGGTGAGCCCAGAAAAGTCTGATAATGAGCTTTGCCCACTTAACCTCATTCTGGGGGATCTCCTGCTGGCTCATTCTAAATCTCTATATCCACTTATTCTCTTTCTGTCAGTACCTTCTCCTTGGCCCACCAGCTGCTCAGGCCTCCCCAGCCTAAAAAGTACTTCCTTCTTCCCAACTCTTCTGACAGGAAGCTCATTTCTCTCTCTGGCCCTAGTGGATTTTAACCTGGCTTTGGGGTTCCAGGAAGCCCTGAAGGTCACCCCTATTTCCCAGTGGCAATTCTGGGGCTCACTCTTCTGATTCTGATTCTGGCAGGGACTTTCTTCCTACTCTGCCCTCTTACTGGGTGGGCTTTTCTTGGCACTTTGCCCCACTGGGCCATGCCCAAGACTCTGCCTTCAAGATCTGCAGCCCAGAAATCCCTGTGACTCCAGACTCATCCCCAGAAGCCTTCTGGACCCTGGTCAGGTACATTGCTGTTGTCTTCCCCAGCTATGTTCCCTCGCTCTTTGCACATTCAGTAATACTAGGTCCACCTCATTCCTCTGCTAAAGTTTTGTCCATGTGGCTCTTCCTGTCTGGCCTCAATTCTTGTAGTTTCCCACTAGGACCAACAGCAGCCTCTGGACTGATCTCCCTGCCTCTGAGCCACCTACCTCTGAACTATCTCCTACACAGAGGCCAGGCATCTTTCAGTCAGAGATCTGACCTAGCACTATCCTACCTGCAACTGTTCATGGGCCCCATAATCTATAGTCACAGTCTTTAAATGAGTTGCTCACATGTCCCTGCCAGCAAAATGTTTTTGAGCACGTGTTCCCTTAATATGTGTTCACTCATTCTTCAAGATGGCTCCCAGTGATCCCTTTTTCTCAGACTCACATCCTTGTGTGATTCCCTCCTACAATGAGTAGGGCTGAGACAAGTAAGATAGCTTTGAAATGATGGACTGTTATTTCTGAGGCTAGGCCATAAAAGGAATGGTGCTCTTGGTTCACTCACTCTGGCAGGAGCTGGCAGCCATGTTGTGAGGACATTCAAGTAGTCCTGTGGTAAAGAACCAAGTGCTGCCAACACCCAGCATTAACTTGCCCACCATGTGAGTGAGTCCTCTTGGTAGTTATCTTCCAGTCTCTTTCAAGTCTTCAAATGAACATAGCCCTGACTGAAATCTTGGTTGCACCCTTGTGAGAAACCCGGAGTCAGAATCTGTCAGCAAAGCTGCACCCTGACCCTCAGGAGCTGGGTGAGAGGATCACTATTTATTGTTTTAAGTTGTGAAGTTTTTGGGTAGTTATTATTATTTTTTCTATACTGGGGATTTTTAAAAAAAATATTTTATTTACATTTTAGTTTTCGGCAGAGACAACATCTTTGTTTGTATGTGGTGCTGAGGATCGAACCCGGGCCGCACACATGCCAGGCAAGTGCGCTACCACTTGAGCCACATCCCCAGCCCAATATGCTGGGGATTTTTTAACCCAGGAGTGTTCTATCACTGAGCCATATCCCCAGCCCTTTAATTTTTTTTTCTATTGTTACTTTTGTGATGCTAGGGATTGAGCCCAGAGCCTCTCATATGCCAGCAAGTGCTCTACTGCTGAGCCCCACCCTCAGACTGAACTTTTAATTTTTTTTTTTTTTAAATTTTGAGACAGGTTCTTGTTGAATTATGGAGAATGGCCTTAAACTGGAGATCCTGCCTCAGCCCTCCCAAATTGCTGGGATTATAAACATGTACCACTGTTCCTGGCTGGAGTAATTATTTTGTAGCAAGATAACTAATGCACATGTACAACTGCACAGACCTATTAAATACATTATAAACCATATAACTCTAAATAGAAACATAAAGATTAATATGTGTGGTTGGGTGTGGTGGTTCATGCCTGAAATCCCAGTGGCTCCTCAGGTAGAGGCAGGACGATTTCAAGTTCAAAGCCAGCTTCAGTAACTTAGTGAGACACTTAGCAACTCGGCAAGACACTGTCTGTAAATAAAATATTAAAGAGGGCTGGGGATGTGGCTCAGTGGTTAAGCACCCCTGGGTACAATCCTCAGTACAAAATAAAAAGATTAATATGGATGCATATATGTATATATGTATATATGTATATGGATACATATATACATGTTTAGCAGCAGTCCAAGCACAGTGGTCTAATCAATAAATGGAGAACATGGTTATAAGGTAGAAAACAGATTTCAAAACATCTTATTTCAGTACAAAATGCAAACAAGAAGATGCACAGTATACGGCTTTCTGCAGTTTTACAAGCTGAACATCACCGCATGACCAGCATCCAGACCAATAAGGTGGACCTTCCCTCACTCCCCGACCTTCCTGTGTTCTCTGCCAGTCTCTACCTACTGGGTAATCAGTATTCTGACTGAATTAGCATAGACTTGTTGGCCTGAATAAACCAGATTGTAAGTGATAAAATCAGAGAGTGTTAAATTAACAACCCAATTGTTACCAAAATCACTGGCCATGGGCCCAGTGCATGTAAACAAACACAAGGGTTTTCAGGACACAGAGAAATGAGGGCACACACAGAGCTGTCACTCTTTATGCAAGTGATGTGTTCCTGAATCTCTCACATAATCTAGACAATTCAAGTCTAGTTTTCTTGAAATATCTGCAAAGCAGGATTTGTACAATTTCACATTTGGAGCCTTAAGGGAGACTTGTTAGCATCTTTAATGTTGCCCAGTTTCTAGAATTTAAATTATGTTAATTTCCACTTAGCGTAATTTGAATTCAGACAACCCTCTCTGAAGCCCATGATTTAGCATCTCTGGGGCCCCAGGACTATAATGTGTGGATGGAACGGGAGCCCAGTTCTGGGGGCAGCACATAGGGTGGAGCCAGGTTGCCCAGTCCTTCCTCTGCTGCTTTGACAAGCTATTGCCAACCAGGGCCTTAGCTTTCTCTTCTGCAAAATGGGTTGTGTTGGGGGATTATAAGAAAAGTGAATGAGTGAAAAGCCTTGGGATACATAGCAGGAGTCAGTGGAAGTTCTTCAGCATCAAACCAGCTGAGGCTCCCCGCTGCCCCCTGTCCTCCATGCTGCTTGAAGGATTTCAGACTCTGCAGAAAAGACATGGAGTCAGGTTAGGCAGGCTGGGGAGCTGGCCTCCAGGGTCACAGACCTGAATTGGGCAAGAGCAGGGAACTGGTCGGTCCCTCTGATCCTGGTCAGGGATATTTGGAGACACTAACAATTCTGGGAAATTCAGAGGTGGAGAGTGAAAAGGGCAGAGACAGAGGGGGAAACAACACAGAGCATCCCAGCGCCCCCAGGCCTGCTCCTCTTCCTAAAGGGTTCAATGAGGTGTGAGGTGACTGGCTTGTGGGTGTGTGTGGGGACAGGTCAGAAGATTCCCCTTCCCTGGGGAGGAGAGCAGAGGCAACTCATCCCCCACTCCCACCCCCAAGTTCCAAATCTATTTCCATCTTTGTTTACTGTCCAAAGTCCCAAACACTAGAGATGCCAGATTCTGCGTGCTCAGACACACAGACACCCATACACACAGACACACGGGTCCAGGGCCCTCATATGGACCCTGCCTTCTCCACTCCCACTGTTCAGGGCTGGCCACCAACTCCAATTCTCCAGGTTTCAGCCCCTTTCTTAGCCTGGGATCTGCATAGCATCCAGGGACCTGGGAGCCAGACCTACAGAACTTCAGCAAGTAAAATGGGGATGGAGAGAGAGAACAGTTGAAGGAGTGATTGAAGGGGCTCTCTCTCTCTCTCTCTCTCTCTCTCTCTCTCTCTGTGTGTGTGTGTTGGTGGGGTTGGGTGGAAAAATGGCAGAGGATGGATTTTGGATGTAGGCCTTGGAGGGGATGAAAGAAAGAAGAGTCTCCATTGGGTCACTGGTCAGAGGTAAAAAAGGAACAGATCCCACACTCTAGGCCCTGTTCCCTTCAGCCCCAAACTCAGTTCCAACCTTGGCCTTGACTTGTCCCAGGTCCAACACCAGGCCTATCATGACGAAGGAATATCAAGATCTTCAGCACCTGGACAATGAGGAGAATGACAATCATCAGCTCCGAAGAGGTGAGGGACACCTCTCCCATCTGAAACAGGAGTATTTGGGAACCTCTTGCCCCCTTAGTCTGCTTTTTTCTGTGACACCTGGTTCTGTCCTTGGGTCTGACGCACTCACATGGAAAATGGTGGTCGAGACCCACATGTTAGGGGAGGTGCAGGCTGTGGGATTAGAGTCCCTTTCTTGGTGACAGCTGCCCAAGCTTCCTTACTGTGTTACCCAATTCTCAGGATCTTGGGTAGGGAGTGAATCCAAGGTATGAGAACAACTGGAAGTTGGAGAGGTGGGCTTATTTCTTCGAAGGTAGTGCCCTCTTCATTTCCTCTTCCAATGCAGCTGTGGAGAGGCTTGGACAGTGTGTGTGGGTGGGCGCGGTGTCAGGATCAGCTTGGCCAAAGAGGTTAGGTTAGGAAGCCTGTAAAAAGGCAGAAGGTCTCTGCTCTGGGAAGGATGAATCCCCTTCCTCGTGCATCCAAAATAAGTTCCCTCTCCCCACTTCTTGGTCTTCCAGAGCAAAAAGGAATCATTTGTGGGGATGGTGGGTACTGGGGAAGAGAACGGGAAGGGGAGGCCCCTACACTCCAGTTCACAGGGACCAGACTCAGTGTCATTCTCTTCTTCATGGGTGAGCGAGACCCTGCCTTTTGTCTGCATGCACATGAAGATGGGTGGTATTCACAGAGAGAGGAAGAAACCTCTTCACTTTCAGGGGGCACAGTGACAGACTCCCCTAGGTGGGCCTCTGATGAGGTTCATTAGCTGCAGTGTCACAGTAATGCCACTAGGTGTCAGCAAAGTCTCAAGTCTTTGGCAATGCTAGGGAAGGTCAAAGATTTGCGCCCCTGGGGATCCTTATTCCCTTCCCCACCTCCAGTTATGCTGGCCCTGCAAAGTGGCCCATTGCCTGGATTTCTTAATCTGTATGGTTCCTCCTAGTCTACTAGAGTAGCCTTAGCCTGCTCCTCACCAAGTGCCCTGCACCTACTCCAGGCTGGCCTGTGTCCCTGAGCTCCTGATCCTCTCTCTTGCAGGGTTACCTCCTTCTCAGCCTTTTTTGCAGCGGCTCTGCTCCGGACCCCGCCTCCTCCTGCTCTCCTTGAGTCTCAGCCTTCTGTTGCTGGTGGTTGTCTGTGTGATTGGATCCCAAAGTGGGTGCCCAGGGGTGACAGGGAAGGGAGCAATATTGTGATGGGTTCAGTGCTGGTGAACACAGTCTCCTCCTGTTTTCATCCCCATGGCCTCTCCTGCACAGACTCCCAGCTGAAGGAGGAGTTGAAGGCCCTGAGTAAGACCTTCAGCAACTTCACAGTGAGCACTGAGGCTGAGGTCAAGGCCCTGAGCACCCAGGGTGAGGGGGATTAGGGTTGGGAGCTGGGGCAGGGGGATGGTTAGGACATCTGGACACTGAGCAAGTCTCTTCCCCCAGGAGGCAATGTGGGAAGAAAGATGAAGTTGCTGGAGTCCCAGCTGGAAAAACAACAGCAGGACCTGAGTGAAGGTCAGAGTGTGTGTGTGTGAGTGTGTGTGTGTGTGTGTGTGTGTGCATGTGTAGGTGCAGGGTATGGAGTGCAACTCTCAGACCAAGCCAAGGCTTCTTGGCAGGGGCATCTGTGATTGGTCTTCCCAGAGAAATGACAGATCCCACCCCTCATGTTCATACTGACCTTATTTCCCTCTCATACTCTCCTCCTCCTGCTCCCCTTCTGTCCTCTGTCTCCCCAGAACACTCCAGCTTGCTGCTCCACGTGAAGCAGTTTGTATCTGACTTGCGAAGCTTGAGCTGTCAGATGGCTGTCCTCCAGGGCAATGGTGAGGGGGCCACCCAACCCCACTTTTTGCCCCCCTTCCAGGTAGCGCTCCAGGCTCTTCACCCTCCCTCTTCCCTCTCAGACTCTGTAAGGACCTGCTGCCCCATTAACTGGGTGGAACATGAAGGTAGTTGCTACTGGTTCTCCAGCTCTGGGAGGCCCTGGCCGGAGGCTGACAAGTACTGCGAGCTGGAGAACTCTCATCTGGTGGTGATCACCTCCTGGAAGGAGCAGGTGAGGCCCTGGTGGGCACTTCTGGGAGACTGACTTGTGTAAGGGAGAGGTCACCACTCCTCTCTTCTCTTTCCAGAAATTTGTCCAGCACCACATGGGCCCTTTGAACACCTGGATGGGTCTAACAGATCAAAATGGCCCTTGGAAATGGGTGGATGGGACTGACTATGAGACAGGCTTCAAGTGAGTGGGTGTGACTGCTCAAAGCTTTGTGTCTGGCACCTTCCCAACCTCTGGCTCCAGGGTGGGGGGGCTCCTGGGGATGTTGGCTGAGTCTGACCTCCTGGGGCACCTGGCTGTCTCCTGTCTACAGGAACTGGAGACCAGATCAGCCAGATGACTGGTATGGACATGGGCTGGGAGGAGGCGAGGACTGTGCCCACTTCACCCCTGATGGCCGTTGGAATGATGACTTCTGCCAGAGGCCCTACCGCTGGGTCTGTGAGACAGAGCTGGGCAAAACCAACTAGGAGCCTTTCTCCCCCTAATTTATTTCCTCAATGCCTTGAGCTGCTGAGGTCTGGGATTGGAAATCCTCCTATGTGGGGGTCTGCACTGTCTTGGGGATTTTCATCTAGGATGTAAGGGGAGGGGTGAGTGTACAGTGTTGTTTGGAAGGGTGGGGTGATGGCAACCCATGACACTTTCAGCAGTGTGAAGCTTATTATTGACAATTTTTTTTTAGAGTAAAAGGAAGAGAAATGTATTTAAACGTTCTATGAACTGTCTGGTTACTGGGCATTAGGAACTGGGAGCGGCCTGGTTGGCATTAGGAAGACCTGGACAGGTAGAGGTATCATGAGAACTGAATGGGCTTTGGGCCAGATGGTCTGGGTAGGAGTCCAGCCTTGTTATTTGCAAGTGTTGAGCCTAGGCAAGTAACTCTGTTCTATGAAACTCAGCCACAAGATAGGCTTGTTAGTGGGGACCATCTACCTGCTGCAATACTTCCAGATCTGAACCACCCCAAGTTGTTGAGTGCTTCAAATACCTTAAATGAGCCATTTGCATGGTGACGTCTATAATCCAAGCTACTCAGGAGACTGAGACAGGAGAATTACAAGTTTGAGGCCAGACAGTAATTTATTGAGACTCCATAAAATAAAAAAAGGCTAGGGAAGTAACTCAGTGATAGAGCACTTGCCTAGCATGTGTGAGGCCCAGGGTTCAACTCTTAGTACCACAAAACAACAACAAACAAACAAACACTTTGGATAAAACTCACTGGCATCTATTATATTCAGTGCATTAAATAGAAGTCACATTCATAAACAGGTGACAAATACCATGAATACATACAACCTGAGTCACCAAACATATGAGGACAACCAGGACTTTGAAAGAGAAGCATCAGTATTAACAGAATCAACAGTCAAGCCTGGGAGTGAGGACAATTAGGACTTTACAGATACTTCTGGAAATAGTAACAAAAATAGACAAGAATGTTTGCTCACATACAAGACATATGCTAATTTCAAAAACAAGCAGTGCTCTGACCATAATATAGCAGTTAGAAATGGAGAGCAAAGTACATCCTGTAAAAAATGTATCAACAGCCAGGCACAGTGGTCCATATCTGTAATCCCAGGGACTTGAGAGGCTGACTGCAAGTTTGAGGAAATTTAGGGAGACCCTGACTCAAAATTAAAAGAGGGAAAAAGCTGGGGATGAGTATGGTGGGGCACACCTGTAATCCCAGCAACTTGGGAAGTTGAGGCAGGAGGATCACGAGTTCAAGGCCAGCCTCAGCTACTTAGGGAGACCTTAAGCAATGTTGTGAGATACTGTCTCAAAAAAAAAAAAAAAAGGGCTGAGGATGTAGTTCAGTGGTTTCAATCTCTCGGGACCAGGAAAAGGAAGAAAGAAAGAAAATAAAAAACAAAATAAAGGATCAGTTATGTATCTAAATACATTGTTGATTATATTAAATGTAAAAAACTAAGTTGTCTTGTTAAAAGACAGACATTTACAGACAAACTAGAATCCAATTACATGCTCAAAAGACACATCTGAATCAGAAAAGTTGAAAACAAAAATATGAAAAACATATTGGGGCAAATTCTAATTGAAATAAACTATCATAAGAAAGTATACTTTATAACAAAAAGTATTATTAGAGAAAAAGAGGGACACTTTCTAAAGATAAAATGTTAAAAAATTCAACAGGAATATACACCAGTAATAAGTATGTATGCACTGAATAACATAGCCACAAAACCTATGAAGTACAAAATTTTGAACTACAAGAAAAAAAATAGAGGGCTGGGGTTGTAGCTCAGTGGTAGAGCATTTACCTTGCACACATGAGGCACTGTGTTCGATCCTTAGCACCATATAAATAGATAAAATAAAGGTATTGTGTCCATCTACAACTAAAAATATTTTTTTTAAAAAAGAAAAAATAGAAAAACCTATATTTTTTTTCTGTAAAAGGATGATCAAACATCTTCCTCAGTAATTGATAGATCAAGCAAATAAAAAATAAAAACCTTTAGGATACAGATGTTTTGAAGGCAGAATAATCTTTTATGACCTAATGGACATATTCACTGCACTTCACTCATCATCTGCAGAATATCCATTCTTTTCAAGTACTCCCAGACATTTAAAAAAAATGGTGCAAAAACTGGGACATAAAGCACCTTTTAATAAATTTCTAATGGGGAATTTTCACAACCATGAGGGGAAATATAAAACTCCTCTATCAAAATTAACTAATCAAATCAGCATATTATGAGATATCATATTCAAGTAGCATATATATCAAGAATTCAGATAATTTAACATCAGAAAAATTGGTTAGTATGATAGATTTAGGGAGTATAGAAGGATCGATTAAGGGATGATAAAAGATAAAATTACACAATACAGAAAAGCCCTCAGCAAAAGTTCAGCTCCTCTGCACAATAAAACCTTTCAGGACTTTGGCAGCTTCTATCTTGTTGCTTCACTGCTGTTTGACTACATGTTCCAAGACACCTGCCCCAGTCACGACACACTCCAGACCAGGGAAAAGAGAAGGACAACAGCACACTTTCTTTCTCTGTCAACAGGACAATTCTGGAAGTTGTCAGCTTACATCTCTTGGATCAGAGTGAGTCTCAGGGCCACAGTTAGCTGCAAATGGTTCTGAGAGGTGCACTCTTTATTCCACAAGGAAAAGTTCAGGGAATTCTATTTTTGTAGAGCAGGAGTCAACATATTTTGGCACTCACCTGTTTTTGTAAATAAAGTTTTATTGGAACACTGCACTGTTTGTTTATTGATGTATCCTTTATGACTGCTTTGAAGCTTCAACAGCAGAGTGGAACAGTTATGATAAAGACTGTGTGGCTAGGAAAGCCTGAAATATTTCCTATCTGATTCTTTACAGAAAATATTTGCTGACTCCTGGTTTAGAAAAAAATGGGAGAATTGATATTAGAGATCTCTTGGAAGTCTCTGTCACAGAGTTGTTATTGCTGCTGTGAACAAACCGTATAAGACAGGAAAAGACATTGCAATTGTAGGGCTGGAAGGCTGGAGATGTGTGGCTTGGTGGTAGAGCATTTGCCTAGCGTGTTTGAGACCCTGGGTTCAATTCCCAGTACCGTAAAACAAAGCAATCAAAAAATATGACTGGGTAAAGTAGTGTAAGCCTGTCATCTCAGCTGCTCAGGCAGGTTGCAAGTTTGAGGCCAGCCTGGGCAACTTAGCAAGACACTGTCTCAAAAAAATATAAAAGGCTAGAGATGTAGCTCAGTGGTAGAGAGCCCATGGGTTCAATCTCCACTACTGTAACACATAAACAAACAAACAAAGAAAAATAAAGACCAAAACAAAACAGTACTGCAATTATATAAGAACAAATAGACTAATAGTATGGAATAAAGAACTCAGGGGCTGGGGTGGTGGCTCAGTGGTAGAGCACTTGCCTAGCATGTGTGAGGCACTGAGTTCAATCCTCAGCACTGCATATAAATAAATGAATAAAATAAAGGTCCATCAACATTTTACTTTTTATATTAAAAAAATTTTTTAGTTATAATGGAAAACAATATCTTTATTTTTATTTATTTTTTAAAATGTGGGGCTGAGGATTGAACCCAGGGGCCTCATGCGTGCAAGGCAAGTGCTCTACCACTGAGCCACAACCCCAGCCCTCCATCAACATTAAAAAAAAAAAAAAAGAACTCAGAGACAGACCTGTGGGTCAATGGGAACTTAATATACAAAAAAGCAGGCAACTAAAATTGGTGGAGGAAAGATATTGGGGAAATTGGCTTTCTATATTAAGAAAAATAAAATTGGATCCATCTCTGACACCACAGACATAGCTGGATCCTGAATAGATTGAAGACCTAAACATGAAAGTTAGAGAACAAACAGAAAGTAGGGAGAAGGAAATCTATATTCCTAGGACTTCTAGAAGGACTTAAAAGTACTTTTTTTTTTTTTTGATAAGCCCTCCAAAGCACATACCGAAAAGCCAGAACAATTTGCTGAAATCGCATGAAATTTAGAAATTTCAGTTCAATGACAAGGTTTCAGTTAGGCTCCCAGCAAGCAACACATGGCATACTCAAAATGAGTAATTGAAGGATGTTTTAATAAAAGAACTATTCGTAAAGGTGTTAGCAGGATTAAGGAAGCCACAAGAAGTGAGACGGGAACCCAGGTGCCCCAGAGTGGGACCAGAGGTAGAGGGCCTCCCAACAGGAACTGTGACTTTTAGTTGTGGGAGGCAGGCAGCCCACAGCAGCCCTGCAGGGAGCATGCTGAGAGGCAACATCCTCATTCCCCTTTTCCTCCTTCCAATTTCCTGCTAGACCTGGGAGCCAGATGGCAAGGGAGCAATTTGATGCAGTCATACAGTTCAGCCTTCCAGGCCACAGAACAACCAGAAAAGGGTAGAGAGAGTCTGGAGGAACAAATGGAAGGCATCCAGCAAAGAAGGAACACAGAGAGGAAGAAGATAGGAGACCTATCAGAGAAGCGGAAAAGGGTAGAAACAGGCTGTTCATAGAACAGGGAGCCTGCAGAAGACATGCTTACGATCCCTAGAAACTAGAGAAATTCAATTCAGAACATCAGTGACCTGTCTTTTTATACCCAGTCATTGAAAAAAGTCAGAGGGGAGGGTTGTGGTTTGTGGCTCAGTGGTAGAGTGCGCTTGCCTCACACGAGTGAGGCACATTGGGTTTGATCCTCAGCACCATATAAAAATAAATAAAATAAAAGTATTGTAAAAAAAATAAAAAGAATGCATATATATAGCCGAGCATGATGGCACATGCCTGTAATCCCAGTGGCTTCAGAGGCTGAGGCAGAAGTATCATGAGTTCAAAGCCAATTTCAGCAAAAGCAAGGCATTATGCAACTCAGTGAGTCCCTGTCTCTAAATGAAATACAAAATAAGACTGGGGATGGGCTCGGTGGTTGAGTGCCCCTGAGTTCAGTACCAAAAAAAAAAAAAGAATACATATATATATGTGTGTGTGTGTGTATATATATATGTGTGTGTGTGTGTGTGTGTGCACGCGCACACCTGTAATTCCCGTGACTTGAAAGGCTGAGGCAGGAGGATTGCAAGTTTGAGGCCAGCCTCAGCAACTTAGCAAGACTTTGTCTCAAAATAAAAAATAAAAAGTAGCCAGGTGTGGTGGCACATGCCTGTAATCTCGCAGCTCTGGAGGCTGAGGCAGGAGGATCATGAGTTTAAAGCCA